ACCAAGGTCTTGTTTACTCATTGTGAAGGCCGTTTAGGCAGCATGCAGGCAATTAGCAATCAATCATCCAACCCACCAGTGACCGTTTCTTCTAAGGGGAAGAATTTCGTCATGCATGCAGCTAGACTGCGAACAGGAGGCCCGTCGACAAGAACACCCCCGACAGGAAAGACCATAAGCACAAGTAAACAGATTTCATAGGGTAGACAATCCCATGAAAATGCCTACTGTTTAAACATTATTTAAGTGATGCTGTCTCTTATACACATCTCGTAATGAATAAGCCTACAATCTAGGCTACAACAATTAATACTCTCTTAACATATTCCTACATTTTCAATAAAATAAGTTATAATCGGGAGCGCATGTTTAGGTGTGGTGTGATGTCAAAAAGTGCATTGGCAGTCCGTAACGAACAGAAGCAACTACTGAATTTCCCGCAAATATATTTTACTGGGAATTGTTCTTCTTGTCTATACCACAGTATAATTAAAAAGAAAATACAAATTGTGTTCACACCTAAAAATCGGGAAAATTACGATGCATAACAAACAAAAATAATAAGATTGAACTGAAGCGCCTACCCCTGGCATCCCAAGACCGAACCATTGTGTGCCCGGTGAAGTTTATTATAATAGTATTTAAACATGTGTATTATAACGGTTAGCGCACGTGTTTGAATATTAATATAATATTTAAACATGTTTATTATAATAATAATAATAACGGTTAATACACATGTTTAAATGTGGTAATGTTAGGCATCTGTATTTATAGTTATAATACAAAATGAATACCCTGCCGCAAAATGGACGGTTCTAAGTCGCCCACTACTCAAGCACATGGGCTTCTCGTTCGTTTGTGACTCCGTGCACTGGCCGTGAGAGCGAGTAATCGTCTGTAGATTGTATGCAACGAAGATACAGAATATCAGTTATAAAATCAATTTAGCATTTGATTTTAATACATGACGAGTTATTCTCTGTTCCTAAATTCTGTCAACCAAATATTCATCGCTCGATTCGGATGCCCTATAAAATAGAGATTTACTACTCTCTGAGCCTAGATTGAAATACATCAGCTGTAAGCTGTAGAATAGCCCCTGGATAGCCGGGAATGTGAGTAAACATTGCTGTTGTACGCCACATGATCATAAAATAAATAGAATAAAGGCTAGAAAGAATCGTATTCTTATATTTATTTAGGCCAGCATAAACACCAATACACCATGTCATTTTCAATACATATGTGTATTGAAAATGACCAAAATTACCATCTTTGTTTTTTGAGAACTAATAAAATATTTTGCATATTATGCATCTTTCTGGCTAGTATTCTCCCAATCGCAAAATTCGTGAAAAAAGTAAAGTAAATCCACAGACGTACAGCTACTGTCTTTTTTCATTATGGTCGGATTTTGGTTTAAAACATTTTATGTTTTAAATAATAACATTAGATTCAGAAATTGTGTATACTTTCTGAAATTTGACCATGATTGGAGCAGTACTGGCTGAACTGTGTCCATTTTCTCCTACTACCAAGGTCTTGTTTACTCATTGTGAAGGCCGTTTAGGCAGCATGCAGGCAATTAGCAATCAATCATCCAACCCACCAGTGACTGTTTCTTCTAAGGGCCCGTTTACGAACTTTCGAAAACCGGATAACTCAAGCCTGAGGTGATAATTAATCATTCCTCAACTAGCTATAATTACTAAAACATCTGGACTTTCCGGGCTTATCCTTTCCGGATAAGTTTGGAGGGTCGGAGGCTGCCTTGGGCGCAATAGCCCACAGCATGGTGTCATCTGACCTTACTTTTATGAGAAATCTATTCAGATTAAGCCTTGAGTCCGCAATTTCTTTTCATCAATGTCTTCGTCCAGTGACATCGCTAGAGTAGTCCTCATTTTATAAATTATATTATCCAATGTTTAAGCAGAAATATTAAGTTTATTTTTACAACGATATACCCATATATACAATGGCTACAACTGAACAGAGTGGGTGGACTGACGAAGCAACCCAAACGTTAATTAGCATATGGGGAACGACATCCATACAAGATGGTTTTGATGGAACCCGATGGAACAACGCCGTTTATAATGGGTTATAACTTTACGCACGCACAGATAGAATACCAAATGCAAGAAACTGTGCAAAAAAATACACCCAGGAAAAGGACCCCAACAGGAAGTCAGGAAACCCCCCCCCACACCCCAACAGAATGGCCGTATTTTGCGATGATTTTTGGCGATAGACCCATTTCTTGTCCACCACACACTGTTGACACGTCGTTGGCGGTTCTGAACACCAGTGGAACTAATAGTACACGTAGTAGTAAGTCCGTAGGCTATTTTTTTCCCTTTGTTTTTTTTTTTTTTTTGTAATTTTCCCAGTTGGCTAGGCTCTAGTTTCTAACGCCTGGGTTTTTTAGAATTGGTTGGAGTACAAGCGTAGGCAAGGCGAGGTAATTCGTTGTTGAATTGCCTTGTTGGGCTGAGGAAGGCTAAGCGGTGAAGTGTTCGTTTTGTTAAAAGGCCTATACCTTACTGTCCGTATCCGAATAACTTGGGGTTCGTAAACGAGCGATCTAATGACCTACCCTCTGGGCATTATGTCATTTTTGACTTATCCGGTTTCGTTGAAAGTTCGTAAACACAACCTAAGGGGAAGAATTTCGTCATGAAGTACTTTTCCTAGTGACACAAGCTGAGTTCACAGAGGGTTCAAACCCTCAGTGTAAAGATCGGAAGAGCCCAACATTAGGATACCAATGGAGATAGCTATTTAACCTTTTCTGCTATCTAGAAAATGTTTAGCTCCTTGTTTTTTAAATGTCTAATGAGTTTTTCAATATTGTTTTTACTTTATGTAAGAGATTATGTAGTTTAAGTGATTTTTGTAGAAGATTAAGTGATTTTCCAATTCAAATTAAATAAATTATCAAGTACTGTATATGGCCAGCTCACACAAATTTTTGTGCAATAATCTTTCATTCATTTATTTAACTTTAATAATGAGATACATCTTTCAGAAAAGTAGACAACAATGTCAAAGCTATTATGGTGGGTTTGTCGTGCTATACTTGATTATTAGCAAGCCAGAGCTGTGCTCTATTTAATCTTATACAGTTACTGTTGTCTTGATGACAGAACCTATTACACATAGTTCCTGAGAAATCCAAAACATGAAGACATTCCGCCCCAATAAATACAATCCCTGGGAATTTATATTGGCAATCCAAAATGCTATTATTCAGCAGCCATGTGTATAGTAACAATTTATCAGTTAATTCATTCAGTCAACCATCCAGAATTTTTATTGCATATAACATGTACACTGGGCCAATGGCCTGACGATAAATCCAAAAAAATTATGTAGTTATATTGAAGCAAAGTGTCTTGCCAAAGACATGTGTTCGAAGTTAGCTTTTTAGAAAATAATTATCCAATTTAGTCCATATTTAGATTTTGTCAATAATTATTTACATTTTTTTCAGGGTACCGCAGTGGAGCTTAGGGTACCTACTTACACAGGAACAGAAGAACACAGTCTGAGACGTCCTCTAGACTCCAGGCTAGAACAGGTACAAGCTTTTACTTCTTGTCTTTAGTAAAACCATGGAGGTAAATTCTGTACAAAAATAGAGATCCTAAAGAGGATTTTTAACTACTCCCACCCTTTTTCAATTTTAAGCCACCAGCTTGCACAAGTCATGTCCATGGTTTGGTTGTGGAAAAATGTTGTGAAAATGTATAATAATGTGTAATTTGTAAAACGTATTTCGGGAATATATTGTAGAGTATTCCTTACAAGCGGTTGTATCAATCACTGATATTGCCACTTCCCACAGTACACCTTGACCACATTGATAGGAAGTCAGAACAATATTTATTCAGCTTTCGCCATGAGGGCCAAGGATATGCCAATCAGTGAACTAAATCACTTTTCAAATTGGCAATCCCATCACAAGGCTACAGAGGCTGTATGGGCCAGTGCACCAGGGTACATCTCAAAAGATGTACTGGGTTCTTTAAAGTGCACATGAGAATTTATGTACCCTGGGCCTACGGTTTCAAATTCAAATTCAAATTCAAATTTATTGTCCAAAAAGGAAATTACATTGAGAAAAAGTCATTGCTCAAGAATTACACAATTACAGTATAAAAAAAAAACAAAAAAAAACAAAAAAACATCAATATAAAAATACAGAATTATAAAGTTTATAAATACATGCAAATTAACACATTAGAAATATCAAATAAGATACATTATATACAATAAAATTTACATTGTAGAAAGATTAGGATGTTAATTACATTAAATTGATTGTACAAAGAACCCAAAAAAACTGTTATTAAAAATTGCAATATAAAAATATAATATAGTATAAAAATAACTAGTCAATGTTAAATTGTATTATTGTGTAAAATGGGCGTTGCTCAAATTAAAATGGGACCATTCAATTGCCAACTGCTACAGTTTTTTGTTGCTAATGTTGTTATAGTTTCTGATGGAATGAGGAATAAAAGAGTTATGATATCTCTTGGTTTTACACAAAATAGACCTCAACCTTTTTCCTAAAGGCAACCAATTGTTATATGAGGACAGAGAGTGTGTATTGTCAGCCATTATGCTCTTGGTCTTATCAGTCATTACTACATCTTCTAAGCAAATGCTTTCTTTAATTATTTTGTTAGCTTGATTAACTATTCTTTGTAGCTTTTGTGAATCTACTTTCCTTAGACTATTGAACCAGATGCTGCATCCAAAAATAATGACACTTTCAACTATAGACTTATAGAAGAGCTTGAGTATGGTATTGTCAACCCGAAAAGACTTCTTATCTGATAGTCCTTATCTGAGAAGACTTCTTCCACAACTGGAACTAGGAGCGAGGCGGCCGCGAACCCGTGCTGTTATTGTTGGCTATGGTTACGGTGCCCCTGCCTTAACTGCTAGGCCATTTGACTCCCTCGAATCATCAATTAGGCTTAACCACCACTACCCCTCTCCACCTTCATTGTCAAGGGATTTCAAAACTAACTTCTTCGTTGAATGATCAAACAAAACAAATCTGATTTAAATATTCAATTTTGCAGGTGGATTTTGAATTCCTGCGATCAAACCTTGACCACCACATGTTCATTCAGATGTTCGCTTCTCTTCTGATGGAACGTCGCATCATAATGTGTTCTGGTGACTTAGAGTAAGAATTTTGAATACTTTAAATTCATTGTGTATTTTTATTATCTTGACATTCTTATGGAATTGTTGGTCAAGCAATTTTTAATCATTCAGAATTTTTGATATTTGAACACTGTGAATTTCATTTAACAGCAACAGTTTGTATCGTTAAGATCTGAATCCCCAATGTTTTTTATCATTCTAGACAATAGCATAGCTTTTTTATACAGTATATATTTTGCCTCATATCTGTACCACTTCACTATACCTGATGAAGCGAGTATAGATTGCTGGCGAAAGCTTGTGTGAATAAATACTACTTGTACTATACCGTAAAACCTTGAATTGAAGCCCAGTGGGCTTAATCTCAAGATGAAGACATTTCGAATTGAAGCCCCTCTTTAGTTTGCAAAATTAGCCTTGAAAAGCCCAGGGGCTTCTTTTCAAGAAAGCATAGGCTTCTTTTCAAGATAGTACAGTACATACACTGTACATGAATTTCAGAAAACAAAATAAATTAAGTACAAGCTTAGTTTATACAGTAATTTAGGTGATTTAATGCCAGTTAAATACACTCCATGATACAGATTGATGTTACAGTGGCCTTATTTGTTGTTTTATAGTACAAATTCACAAAATTTACAGCATTCATTTTGAAAAGAAGCCCCCCCTCTTTACTTCGCAAAAGTAGCCTCGAAAAGAAGCCTGTCCAAAGTTTGCAAAAAAAGGGAACAGCACAGGGCTTCATTCAGAGGTTTTACGGTATTAGGACCCATCCCAAAATTTGATGAAAGATAATTTTTTTTATTCCTGTACTCAACAGGATTCTTTCGCAGTGCTCCCAGGCTGCTGCTGCCTTGCTTTATCCATTCTCCTGGCAACACGTCTACATCCCAATTCTACCGGAGAAGCTGATTGACATGGTGTGTTCTCCGACTCCGTACATTATTGGAATGCTTTCCATCGGCATTCCGAAACTGGACGATCTTCCTTTAGATGAGGTTAGTACGAGAGGAAATGTGCTTGTGGCACTGCCTATCCTAAATCCCAATTATTTTTTTCTAATTGTCATAATCATCAATCGTCATAATCATCATCATCAATCGTCATAATCATCATCATCAATCGTCATAATCATCATCATCATCAATCGTCATAATCATCATCATAATCATATCATTGTTGTTTATCATCATCACCACCATCATCATCATCGTCATCATTTTTTTTTCAAATTCAAATTCTTTTATGTATTCTCCACAACACATAATTACTACAACCATAATTACTAAAATTACAATTATTATCACCATTATTACTATCATTATGATCATCATAATCACTATACAGATATCTTCAATATAGATTGTTCTTTTACTTAGCTGAATGAATATCATCATCATTATCATCATCACCATCATCATCATCATTATCATCAGCATAATCATCATCATCACTATACAAGTATCTTTAATGTATTTGCTGTTTTACATTGTAATTATGTTATATTCTTTAATTCTCCTTTTTTATACAATTTACTTAGGTTCTAGTGATAGATCTTGATTCAAGGGACTTTCACTATGTCATCGGTGATGAATGGAGTATAATTCCAAAGAAACTGTATAATGCTTTGCTCCGCGCATTAACAATAGTTAGCCAGTCTGCAAGTAGTCATGACAGTCCGGAAGCATTGGATCCTTACGATGGTAAGTTATTTGCAAAAACGTTTTCATGTTTTTATAACCCAGCCAGTGGTGGCGTCAGAGATTCCCTGACGAGAGGCTCAAGCAGTGGTGTGGTGCCTGCAGAAATTTGCCGACAGGGAGTCTGACATATCCGATAAGGGGGTCCGAACCAATGGGCCGACTAGAGATTCGGTCAGGGTCGTAGAATTAAAATCCTTGTTAGATTTCGCAGGGAGAGATTTTAGACTACAAAATTAGGGATTGGCAATCAAAATAATGTTATTTAGATGGGAAAATTATTATTTTTGCCTGGGGCATTGGACGACAAGGGTTCCATGCCTTTCCAACTAGGAAGATTCCCTCTGCCTCTGCTGGTGCCGCAACTGGGCTCAAGGTTACTTGAAGAGGGTTTAAAGTGCCGGAAAAAGGATGCATGCATGCCTGGCGAGAGGTATAAATTTCCTGACAGGAGGTTCACATCAACCTCAACCCAACTATATTCATAGATGCCTGAAAATGGCACTTGGACTGTAAAAATAATTTTTTCTTCAGCATGGGAATCAGGAATAATACCTCTCACCCAACTGTTCAGCATAAAGAAACCAACTTGCTGTAGATTACCACATAAATTTGTATTTTTAGATGCTGAGACAGTGAACGCGGCCATATCTGAAGTATTCATCCGATTCTTTGTGGAAACGTGCGGACATTATCTAAACTACATGCTGCCGAAACCTGATGGCACATACAAATTTGATCGGGATGGATTTCTGAAGGCCATGCCGTCAAAGAGTATTCGCAAGTTCTTGGAGGTGTTCACGGAATCTCAAATGTTTTCGCTCTTTATTCAAGAGAAGGAGATGTGTGATGAAGGACTTCCACAAGGTAAGCATATCACTGTTCAACATGCATTAAAGTTATACTTCAACTCAAAATGATAAGCAAAAGCAACATCATCTTGGCCAGCACTGGGTCACTTTTATTTCAAAAAAGGCATGTTTTACCTTGTGACTAAGTTTATAATTTGTGAATATTTTCCTGCCTCTATGCCCATTGCTTTCACCGTATTAAGAGCGATTATAATAATAAGAGGGACGTTTTGGCTTAATCTAAAAATATCTACATAACTTGTAACTGATTAGATTTGCATTTTTATAATGTATAACTTCACAATGTGTAATTTTTGTATTCAAATATTTTTGTGATGTTTTTTGTAATTTATATTTCAATAATAATAATAATAATAATAATAAGTAATAATGTAATAATGGTCGTTCATATAGTGCTTTTTCCTCGCGGTTGTATTTTGCACATAGGAACCTCAAATCTGCTCATAATAGAAGTTATTTACAGACTTTTTTTACTTTGATTAAATAATAACAATAAAAATCTTCAGGAAGTTACCATCCGTCTCTGCTCTGGCTCAGTCCGAGAGCCCTACTTACAGTAGGTGACCAGGCAAAGGAATGAGAAACACATTTGCCCTGCCATAGACGACCGGATGATCAAAGGCAGTGACCGAGGCGGCGGCTCCTTGAAGATAATGCTGACTATTAGAAAAGAATAATACAGAGCCAATCATTTAAACTATAGTTAAACAGCATTTTTGTTGTTTCTAAGTATTTTATACATGAACATTTGGAAACATGTTGGAAATATTTTATTTTATAATTTTTCATGGGACAATAAGGCTGATTTTTCATGTATAATGTTCACAATTTTCCATCTCACTGTTTTAAATAATGTTAATAAATGGTACCTGTACTAATAATGAAAATGATAATAATAGTGCCTTTAGAGGGAAGCAATGCAGATAAAATGCAAAAATGCACAGCAAGGGGTTGGAACTCAGACCCCAAGGTTTGGAAACCAATTCGTAATCATGAGCTAAGCCACTACATGTCGTAAGAAATACGATAAGAGCACCTTGTTTGACCTAACAAATTTATTTGAAACAAGTGCATTTTAAAGCTCATGATAGCTTAAGCTAAATTTACACTAGATATGATAATGACAAAACAAATACACGATAAAAATGCACTCAGTGTTGAAGAATATAGTTAAACAGCATTTTTGTTGTTTCTAAGTATTTTATACATGAACATTTCTAAAAATTAAATTAATAAAAAATAAAAAGAATTTAAAAGAAGCACAATTGTCAATTCTTATTGAGTTACAGGTCAACAAAATCATTTTCAATGATTTACAAATATTTGACAACAAAAATTCCTTAATTTATTAGAGTATATGCAAAACCTATTGGAGGATAGTGGTGTTCAAACATTTGTTAATTGGCAAGAACAATTTTCTTGGGCTAATTTCCAGTTGAAAGCTATTAATACATATAAATATACCAAAAAAAACCTGATACTTTGGACAAAACATTGCTTAACTTAAATTTCAGTATTTGATTTGTATTAGCCTCATATTTCCTGAAACTTTGATGGATTCTTGGCCTGTGAATAAACCTTTGTTTAGGTATTTCAGCATTGAAGCCAATACTGGACCAAAACAACCCATCTATTGGCCAACATCCAAGGCATAACTTAGCAGTCCGAGATAAAGCCCCATCGAATGAGTTGAAATATTCAATAGTGTACAACAGAACTTTCATTTTTAATTGAAAGTTACGAATGTATATTGTCCAGTCACTGTTTATTTAAAACAGTTATCCTTTGTCTTGGTCAAAATTAATCCTTTGCAAATTTGGCTTTAGCCTCGTATTTCCTGGAACTTTTATTTACTATTGGCCTGTGAATGAACTTTTGTTAGGTATTTCAGAGTTAAAAGCCAAAATACTGGACCCACAGCAACCCATTTGTTGGCCAACATCCAAGGAATAAATTTAATACCAGATATAGCACAATGGAATGGGTTGAATTGTGTAACAGTTAGAAACCACACTGTTATTGCAAGCTACAAACGTAAGTTTCATAAAACTGCTTAAGAATTGACCAAGGATAAATGTAATAATAGATCTGCATGCTTGGTCTTCCAGGTCTTTTTGAAAAGAAGATACGGGAATATGAAGCGGAAACAAAGAACCATGCAAGATTTGGAAATAAGGTTAAGAACATTGGAAAGTTCATCAAAGATTCAGGTAAATAACAGAAGATCGTCATCATCATCATCATCATCACCATCATTATTATCATCATCATCATCATAATCTGAATCATCATCTGAATCATTATCATTGCCATTATCTGGAACATCATCATCATCTGAATCATTTGTCATTCGTGCATCTTCTTCAGTCACCATTTTTAAAGCTTGAGTAAAGACTTGCCTTTGTTTTTTTTAACCGTATTATACATCACTGTTTTATTTCCATGCCAGTGAGTTTTTATTAGCTTTATTATGATAGGAGGCGCCTGAGTCCGAGATGGCTGAGACTCAACATGTGCTGACCAGGGTTTAATTAGATCAATTCCTGGTTAGCGACGAGGGCGTAGTATTCCCATACTGCAGTTTGGGTGCTGGTTTGGCTTGGAACTTTCATCTTTATTTTTTTATTTCATATTTCCAAACATATCTACACTTGTGCTTACAGCGCATAGAAATGTTGTATTTTGTGCTATATAAATTTAAAACCAATAACCATTAACTATAACCGTTGTTATTATCTGAATTATCATTAATATTATTATTATATCATATTGTCATCTGAGTCATTATTATCTTTATTCTCACCAATATTTTATTTTCATCATCATAACATTTTATTAGTATCATCATCATCATCATCTTAACATTTCATCAGTATGATCACCTTTATCATCATCATCATTATATTGGGTGAGTTGATTGGCCGAGCGGTTAAGTCAGGGGCACTGTAACCTTCAGGTATAATATCAGCGCTGGTTCGAACAGCTCACTCGCCAATAGTTCCAGTGGTAAAACAAGTCTTCTCGGATAAGGACTTTAAACCGTAGGCCCAGTGTACGCATTTGGATCGTGTGCACTTTAAAAGAGAACTAGCAAAATGATTTTTTGTCCTACAGGAGATTTTTGATATGCCATTAATAATAGAACCAACCTTAAAATCGTTTTTTGTTAATTGGTTATTAAGTTATAGGCCATTATATACGATTTTACCGTGACGTCACTGGCGAAAAAAGTAACAAAAGATCGTGTAAATAGCGCCGCGTAGGGTATCTGCCGCATGCGATCTTTGCGTGCATGCTGTAACCATGGTTGTTGTAACTTGCATATCAAGTCATAGGCCTATAACTGCATCAGCGGTTGTCAACAGAAGAATTACAGCTATGGTTACAGCATGCACGCAAAGATCGTACGCGGCAGATACCCTACGCTGTTTTATTTACACGATCTTTTGTTACCTTTTTCGCCAGTGACGTCAGGATTAAATTGTATTCAATGGCCTATAACTCCAAAAGAAATTGCCAAAAAGCGATTTTAAGGTTGATTATATTATTAATGGCATATCAAAATTCCCCTCTAGAACTAAAAATCAGTTTGCTAGTTCTCTTTTAAACATTAACTGGAATTCTGTTTGCAATTTTCGGGGAAGCTAAGATATATATCCTTCAGAGGAAACTTTTCGTTACCCCAAAAACTGGTGGCAGCCTAGTTGTCCTATTGTTGGTGTAGCCTATCCCTTTTTTTGTTACAATGTTCTCTCAACTCCGTGACATCAAGCATCAAGGGCGCTACATGTCTTAGCTTCATCCAGATT